CCTGCGGGACCGCCAGTCTGTCCTAGGAGCTGTTGGTGCGCCACTACAAAAATTCGCCTGGCACACGCTCCTGAGTGAATCGCGGGGCTGTCAAAATGTATTTCTAGCTGGTTTTTTTTTTTAAACTGTAGAGGTCTTGCGCTTATCCGAAAAACATATCCGAAAGATATGTTTTCCGATACGGAGCCCACTTTTATTCTCAGAAGACTGTGCCACGCAGGGCATTGTGTGCCAATTTCCTTCTTAGCAGGGTAGCTGTAAATTTTGAGATTAGTGGTTTAATTGCACAGCAAATCAGAGAGATGGATTTCTTCTGCCCTAAAGCATGCTTTTGTGTATAAGCAGCAGCTAGGTATTTGCAGATAATATTTGCCAGTTAATATTTAAAAGTACTTTTTGCGTCTTGAAGCTTTTAAAATTTCCCCTAGCGTAAGGGTGGTTTCAGTAACCAAAAATATCGCTTCTTTAACGGTTACCCTGCAAACTGAAACACTGTTTGGAAGCTTGGAAGTCCCCCTTAAGATGTACCTTGCAATTATGAAGGGAAAACTATTGCAAGCACAAATGGAGCTGTAAGTTTCCTTCTTCTCTCGTTCACCACAAAACATGAAAATTGTACTTGCTGTGCTTGATTTTAGGAAGAAAAGTGCAATGTACCATCCGGAGAAAAAGTGGAAGAAGCTGAACAACCCAGTGATATAGAAGAAGGAGGATTAGATCTCAGCGTGTCACTCAAACCAGTCAGTTTCTACATCGCGGACAAAAAAGAAATGCTTCAACAGTGTTTCTGTGTCATAGGGGAGAAAAAACTACAGAAGATGCTGCCTGATATTTTAAAGGTACTGAAATGCACTTACCTTCATATACTTTTTACAAGCTTGAATGCTTGTGTAACAAAGCACGTCTATCTCTCAAGTCTAGTGGACTTCCAGCTTAAAAGCTGCCTGTGTATTTCTTAAATAAAGATTATATCAAGTCTCTGAAAGTGAGACTTTTTAAAGGTTTGATATAGTTATTCCTGCTTACTCCTTTTTCCGTTGCTCAGCCATTGCTGCACTGCAGGCTGCTCGTTTTTATACCGTCTGTCTGTACTGGTTAGTTAAATGCGAAAGGAGTTTAATGATTGCATGGAGTAAATTCACTAATAAATATGCTGATTTGTTAATAAAAGTTTGATTTCTGTTTGTGTCAGCTGAATTTCTTTGTATGGTATTAAATTAATGTCTGAGATAAGATGATAAAATCCCTTCTTGATAAACAGCTTCTGAAGCTGTAACTTCTGTGGACTTTAGTGGTAGTATTGCTAGAGTTTTACTGGCTTAGAGCATATGCTTTTTGAGTCTTGTGGACTGCAGGACTTGGCAGTAATAAATTAGGCTAGCAGCCTGTACAGAAGAAGAGGCTGCAGGTAAAATGCCGTTTGTGTGATGTTTGTTAATAATTTTAAAATTTTTGTCTTTTAATTTTTATCTTTATGAGTCATTATTAATATAAGTGAGGCAGGACTTCTTCATTTTAAGCACTTGGTGAATTGCATACAGTCTCATCCATTCCTCATCTCTGGGAGAAGAGGTCTGGTGCAGCTGGAGGCGAAGGCATTACTGACTTTGAAAGGAAGTTGCCTGGTGGTGTAGAACCAAACCTACAGCAGGGTCATAGGTTACAATATGCTGAGCACTTTCTAATTTGGTACTTGTACGTGGTATCATAGTTCATTTGAAAGCGTGAAATTATCGCTATTTCACCAAGAGGACACCAAGTAGTATGAAAGATATGAAGGGAACTGGAATGCCCATAAAATCTGTGGCAGCCTGCGGTAGTATCAAGCATGAGAAATGGAACACAATTTACATATTTCTTATGTTTTCTTTATTATGGTATACAGCTGTTGCTGTGTTGTCAATAGCAGTGTTTGTTTCAGTCCGTGAGCTTGGATTCAACAGTTGGCTCTGGTCCTTGCAGGCTTAATTATGTAATCCAGCTGCTCCCGAGTGATGGAGAGTTAGGAGTAATCAGGGCTACAGTTGTTTGCTGTTCGATGCTTCACACATATGGCCCGGTATTTCTACTGCTCAGTGTTGCAGCTGCAGTGAAAACTCCAAGCCATAGGTCAAGTAACTGATAGTGTGTATTGCTTAATTTTTCAGAAAAAAACCACACACGCATTATTTCTGGTAGTTGTCAAAACTGAAACACCTACCTGGTGTTCTTCAATAGTTGCATCAATGCAGGTCAGAATAGAGAAGGGCTTGCAGTCTGAGTTAGCTCTTCATTCAGCACAGCTGGAGTAGTAGTTACCATTCATAATTACTCTGTCCTCAGAAATTTTTAGTACCTCGTGGTCTGTCTTATCTGTCTTCTTAGAACTGTTCCATGGACGAAATCAAAAGGCTTTGCTTGGAGCAGTTGGAGCTGTTATCTGAAAAAAAACTGTTGAAGATACTTGAAGGTATGAATGAAACTTTTAGGCACCACTGTACACCAGAGAATAGTCTGCTTGGAAACTGGATTTTCACTCCATTTCTAGCTCCTAATATATATATACACACACAAATAAGTGTATGTTAGTGTGTGTGTATATATGTGTATATATATTGGAATTACATATATACACACTCTAATAGTGTATATATATAGTATATGTGTGTGTGTATATATATATGCTGGCTTTGATCTTTTAAGCTTGGATGAAATCGTCCATTGATTTAGAAGCTATTAGGGACACATGCAGAAAACAGTAATATAAGCTTCTTTTCCTTAGTACCCAAACTAAGAACAAAGCTTTTGACTTGGTGGAAAAAACAAAGCTAGGAGTGTAGAAGTATTGTTTGAAATCTATTATTTTAGGTAAACTGACATTAAGTTGCCCCTCGTTCTCTGCAGGGGAAATCTGACATACTGCAATACCAGTTCAATTGTATTAGCAATTGCCCTAGAGTATTTGGTGTAGTTAAAGGATTCTTGGTGGATCCCTCTGCTCTGCTGAGACACACAGTTCATGTACTTTGATTAAGGATATGACATTCCAGCTTTTCAGTATCTTACTGAACTTCCACTTGCTATTTAAGGGCGGTAGAATTTATTTGTAAACGTATTGCTGTCTTCTCAATTAAGTGGAACTCTTCAAATCTTGAATGCTGTGGAGTACCTTCTATTAATTTTGTCTCCTGTGCTTTATTTTTAGTGCCTATAGTATCGTACTAGCAATAGCTATTCTGGGTTTTTTCGTAATACAGTGTAACTGAAATAAAGTTTTTTAGTTTTGAGTAAGTCTAATTTTAGAACATCTGCTCTAACTGGGGGAAAAAACCCTCTTCTGCTGATCATTGCAATAGAGTTAATCATTAAGAGTAAGCCTAACTATATAGCATTAACTATATTACCTGCCTAAATTTTCATGTTTGAAACTGTGTATATCTAGGCAAGATTGGAGCTGATTCTGATACTGACGAGGAGGCAGATGGAGGAGACAAGACTGGAGGTGAATCAGTCAGTCAGTGAGTAAAAGACAAAACGCTTAATTTAAGAATACTGAACAATACAGGGATTTTTCGTGAGAAATGATCAAACTTAATAAACCTTTGAGACAATACAAGACAATACACCAGTGTTGGGCAGATTAAAGTACCTCTTAGTTGCTGGTTTGGTTAGTTCATCTAGACTTACTAAATAGGAACAATTGGATGGAAAAGCTAGTGTTAGTAATCTAAATTTCACATTCTGGTCAGTATTTTTGATTTAACAGAGACCTGGTTTCTGATCCTGTCTTTAATTCAGAACAACTTATGAAGTTATTGAATGAAGTAATTTTCTTTGATCGCGTCTCATCGTACACCATACAAATATCCTAGAAAATGGAGTGATACTGAGTTAAGTGATGTTTCAGTTTTTCTCATGTACTACGGTTTTAATGCCCTCTGACACTTTCTTCTAGGGTTACATTTGGAGTTGATTTGTGACTGTATCCCCCCCCTTTGCTATTTGTTGCCTACATGATCTGTGAATGGTGTCAGTACACCCATTTATGTGGACTGATTTTCTTATTTTGGACATTGCCCTCTGCTGGCTATTTAAAAAAGCAAAATAAAAACCTCAAAAACTACAAAATACACTAAATAGCAGGTCTCTTTATGTAAAGGAGTCTCTGTTAAGTGATAGATGTTTTGCCGGTGAACTTCTAAATAGAATGAGAAGACAAACTTACTGGCTAAGGAAACCATGAAAAATGCCCCAGGATTTTGATGTCTGGAGAAATGATATGATTTTTTTAAGGCCTAATTCACAAGCTCTTTACTATTGCAAAATACGTGAAATGTTCTTCATCTTAAAGAGGTATGGCAGGATTAGTACTGCTAGATTTCAAGAAGGTAGTTCCATGGCTGCAAGGTGTTTCAAAGCTACTGTTGAGACGTGTATTTATGGCCCTCAGCTACAGTAGATTGAGTAAAGTCTTGCTTATATGCAAATAAAGTCATTATTTGAGCTGGTAAAAACCCTAAAAAGGGGAAATTGTTATTGTCAATTAATGAATAAAACAACAAAATAAGGAAAGGAAGCAGGATTCACCATTTCTTAACTAGTGGGTGTCTGAAGACACTTACCAACCCATTTGCCCGTGGCAAGTAGGAAAGTTTCAGGAAAACAACATCTATAGGATCTAAATGGCAGTTTGGAAGTCTGCTGTTTTTACACTGTACAGATAATATTCCAGGCATAAGCAGTGAGTAAACCAAAGTGAGTTGGTGTTGTCTGCCTTTTCTCATAGCTGTGTTGAAGTACAGCAGAATTAAAACTGACCAAGTTCTTTACTGTTGCTGCAGTTAACCAAAAACCAGCAAAGCTAGGCCACCTTACATCACTGAGAAAGATGTGAGCAGTAACTGACAGCAACACCAAGAAGAAATTGTGTTTAAAAAAAAAAAAAGTAAAAGAAACTAAGATATGTTGATCAAAGTTATAGAGCAGGTTGCTTCCTTTGACAAACATAATGGTTGAGGTACCCCTGTTTTTTGTATCTCTGTCCTCATGGTTTAATATTTCAGACCACTCCAAACTGGCCAGGCAAGATGATGTTGGTGTAGGAATTATGGCTTTTCTTCTCCTCTTAATGCAGTGAGTTAAAAAATAGTATGCTACATACAAGGGTGAGAACCTTGGATCATAGGTTCAGCTGTGTGCTAGCTTTAACAAAAAACAAAAAGGGAAAGCTGTTTGGATGATAGAGAAATAAAGGGATAGGAAGAAATAGATGAAACAAGTAAAATTAAGGTTTTATATTAATCATTAAGCCCAGTGCTCAGTAAGTAGAACAGTATTATGCTTTTACAACTGTAAAATGTCACAAGCCCTTTCTACTAAATAGGTTTAATCTTTGGACATTTAGGTTAACTTTTTTCAACCTGTGTGTAATTAAATATAAATGAAAGTTTGCAAAACTTCAGAAAACTCTGTTTCAGCCAGAACAGCAACAAGTCAGTCAGTAGGCAGGGAGGCTAAAGATGCAACAGTGAAGAAATAGGGAAAACTGCATTCCTGAGCTAAACTTTGGTTGTTTGTAATCATTAATGTGTTTTTAATTATCATCTGTGTTTAAATGGGTGAATTTGTTTGCCCTGGGAAGAGAAAAGACTTTTCAGAATGAAAAAGACAGTTTTTCTGTTTATATTCTCACTGTTGGTTCTTCATAGTTTGTCTTCGTTACTAGTGGTTTTCTTGTAATTGACTACTTTTTTCTGCATTCTATTAATGATGCAACATTAAAGCTTTTTTGTGTTAAGTCTGACTTGTCTTAGTTGCTTTCATGGACATTTAAATGTGGTAAGGGAAAATGTGAATAGCAAGTCTTACTCTAGTCAAAAATCTGTTAACTGACTGGAAACATCAGTTTTTCTTTCATTTTTCTTTAAAAAAAAAAAAGTTCGACAACTTATACCTTCAGCAATATGCATATTTCAATAGAAATCCAGAAAGTTTAAATCAATATATCTGAAGAAATTAAGTGTATCAAAATACACAGGCTTTCTTAGAAGGGTATAGTTTGTACTGTGTCTTTTTTTTTTCCCCAAATATACAAATACTTATCTGTCTCTGAAGACCTGCTTCCTGTCTGTACCTTCTAAAAGTAGCAGGGATTTAGAGAAATTTCCCCAGGTAATTGTAAATTGAACCTTCCTTTTTCTGAGGCACATATCCTCATTCTGCCGCCAGAACCGGAAGTCCTGAAGCTTTTTTTAAATTTCAGCTCTGTAAAAGCTTCAGATGCTTCCATTAGCATGTAAAACATTTGCTCTGATGTTTTGTCACCAGCTTCTTCTGAGTTAAACACTAGGAATCCTGCAATAAGCATGCAGAAGAACTGAAGAAGCAGGGCCTACGTTTGCCAATAACTGGAAATTGCTGTTATGATAGATACGCGTCATTACTTGTGGGCTCAGTGTAGATTTTTGACTATGCAGTTCTCAGATTTTTATTATTGTTTCTGTGTTACTGTCTGCAACGGAGTACCATTAAACCAAGAGAACTGCTGTTTACTAAGCTTCCAGTTAAATGATAGATATTTAATTGGAAGGAATTAGCCAATTACTGTCCTGCAAAACCAAGCAGGCATTCTTCCCATCTTATTCAAAAGGTATTAGCATGTTCTTGAGCTATTTCTTTTCTGTTTCCTGAATTGGCTTTTTAAATACCTTCCAACAGAAGGACTGAAAGTAAATTATTTGCTGTTGTAATAAAACATGTATTAAAAGAACAAACATGCTAATATCACTATAGTGATCCTATGTTCATGTGTATAATGTGAGTAAATGATCTTTTGCTTTGAAAATATAATGTGCTTATTTTTTTCACTGTATGAAAATCTGCAATTTAATATTTGCGCTTTCAAGAATTTGTAGGCTTTTTACTGCTTTGCAGTCATGAGCTCAGGTTTTGCTTGTTTTGTTTTAGAAAGGTTAGCAGTTTAGAGGCTTTCCTTTTTTTAACTTGTTTTGCTTCTGGGTACTGGGCTGTTCACAAGCATGCAATTGCTGTCTGATATTTACCCCTCTAGGTCAATTTGGTTATCTTCACCATTTGGAATCACTGAAAGAATAGGCTACATGAGTCGCTGAACAGATACATTAGCACTTGGCATCTGTTCACTGTCTTCTGTTCCCATGGTGTCCTCAAATTTCACCTGTGATCGGACTGGTGGACATTTCATAGCGCATTAAACAATTTGATTAGCATCTGTCATTTGGGATACCTTTCCTGAGGAGCACTACTTCATAAGGATTTTTTTTTCTTTTTTTTTAATTGCTTGCTGTTAATTATTTTGTTTTCATTTGTCATGGAAATCTACCCTTGGAACAAAAATTTGCAGGAAGCTTACAAGGACTTGGGACTTCTAGAAATATTTTTTAGACTTAGAACTGCGAAGGCAGATTTTAAATTAAGGAAGGTACATTGTCTTTATGTCAGAGTAGCAGACGTACTGATCTCAAGCCTGACTCCAGATTTAGGTGAAAGTTTCTTAACAAAAATTAAAAGCCCTGTAAGGAAAGTATCAGCATGACTGTATCTCATGTTGTTGTCAGACTGTCTTCCAGTCTAGCACATTAAGATATTTTTTTCTGTCACAAAACATTTCCTGTTGGTCTCCAACCCCAGTTACTGCTGAGGCTTGGAATCCCAGCCACCAGTATTGCAGTGCTATTGTCTTAGTCCTTAGCTGTCCACTCCTCTGGCCAGTACCCTTTTTCCTAATTTGTGCTGCTGTCTTACCTCACTCTGCATAATCTGCTGGAGTAGTGGTACCAAATCACCCTCAAACCCAGATTTCTTTGACAGCTATGCAGATTCCTGAAAGTGGTAGGTTCTGTACAGAATCCATGTGCATGAGCCCAGGTTAGCATTTAACTAGTGTGGAGCATGTCAACATGAAAAGCTAGCATAGGACAAATCTAAATTTACAGCATTTGTCACCAACAAACTGTAGTAGTTAGCTTCTTTCTGCTGAAAAGAACATACTGTGTTGATGTTGTTCTATTAAAAAAAAAAAAAATGCTGAGTTTATCTTTTGGAAGAGTGACTTTGAACTTAACCGGCATCCTGAGGGAGAAGAGTCTTTGAAGACTGATAAAAAGCGGGAGCTCCAAATTATTGTGGTCATTTACTGGCGTGGCATGAAAGAAGAGAGTATTAAATTTGTATAGTGTGCCTTAATTTTAGATTAGCATATCTTCTGCTCCCATTGTGTGGAGACATGATGTTGTGCCTCCCTTTCTTAAATCTAAACCGCAGTGTAGATAATTATGAAAAAAATATTTCTTACTAACAAACAAATTAAACAAGGTTAACAAGTTGAGAGCAAAACCGAACTGTGACCTGAAATGCTTCTGCTTGGCCACAAGATGGTGCAAAATGCCTGCCTGTTAAATGAAGTGGTGAATGTTCGCCAGCAATACAGTCTGATCCAATAAATTCTGAAAGAGTAAAACGTGCTGTAAAAGTACTTCTGGGTTCTAAAAATTCTTTTGCTGACAGTAGGTAGTCTTTAAAGCAACTTGGTTTTGCTGTAATCAGTGATAGTGTCAAGGCAACAGGAGGAAACTTTACAACAAGTTTTGATGTGTGATTTTTCAATTGATAATTTCTTTTTAAGTAGCTGTTAAAATGGGTGTAGGTAATTTCACAGCCAGTGTTTGAAACACAGAGGTTGCTCTGAGTTTTCTGTCAAAGGGCGGATTGTAATTCCTCAGTGAAATTTGGTGTTGGAGCTCAGAGTGCTACCAGAGATGTGAATTCTCTTGCCTGGATGCTATTAGTGCAAGACTGGACTTTCCCAAGTGACACATTGCTGTCCAGTGCAGAGATGACTTCTCAGTTCAAAATGAAGAAGTGTGTGAGGGAGAATAGGGTAGGGGCAGCCTAAGCAGCTTTTGTTCCTAATGATGAGCTGGGTGTATCATGACGTTATTTTGGTCAAGAATTGAGTGACTAAGTATAACAAATCATTAGGAGTTGCTCAAAAAAAAAAAGTGACTCCTTCCAGATCTGTTGACCAGTAGCTGGTGCCAGATCCACTGCTCTCCCCAGTTGCTGGCACTTGGACATACAATCCTGCAAGGTTTGCGTCCCCACTCCAGCTGCTGCTCAGACCTCCTTGTGCACACAGGTGTCTCCCATAGCTGGTGCAGACCTGTGATCATCCCCAGTAGCTGACATTCAAACTGTTGATCTCTTGGGTATCTAGTGGAGCTATGGCCCCTAATTTGCCTACTTGCAGACCCTGGTCTCTTTCAGGAGTTTGGCCTCTGATCTTACAGTCTGTCTGGTACCTGACTCCCAGACCTCTCATCTTACTTGCTGTCTAGACTAGCCTGAGGGTTGCTAGTGAGTTACAAGCATCTGCACACACATTGATGCCATGACATTGAAGTTCCCCGAGGAAGCGTGCACATTTTTCACTCTGTCTAGTTTCTGGCAGCACAGTCCTGCAGGCCCCTATGACCTATGGTCCCCTTTGCAGTTGCTGGCACTTAGACACACACACACGTGTGCATATATACAGAGAATAGCGTCCTCTCATTTGGAAAAATAGCTAGTATAGCAATAGAGTTCAATAGGAAGGCAGGACAGACTGTGGTGATCTGGTCCAGGGCTTGGCCAGACAAGTATACTGACCAGCAACCTGTTTATGCTCTGCTGGCTCTTCATCTTCTTCTTTTCTCTTTTTTCCCCATGCTTGTTTTTTCTCAATCTGCCTTGGTCTCTCCCTTTTCCCACCTTTGGTTCTTCCTCTAAACATGCCATGCTGCCTTACATGTTCCTACGCTCCCCTTAAAAATATCTGCCAGTTTTATGCAATCCTGAAATGCTCTTCCCCAGCATCCTGTACAGACCCCCTTGCTCCTGTAGAGAGTAACACCCTTCAGCCTGTAAGGTGATTTCTTTAGCTGACTGCTCTTACTAGGTTTCATTTCCAGAAAATGGGCTGGTTGCTCTCTTTTCACAACCCTAGGAGTAACTCGGGCAGGGTCATTCCGCTGCACTGATGAAGTTACTGGGGTTCCTCTGCTTGCAGTTTTCCTCTGCTCCTCACTGGGCCTTTGTGCTTATGGTTACTCACCATTAAACGCATAACCTAATGGACGGGACAATACAACAGAAAACTGCGTGTGATAAGCTTTGGCAAGTGACAGGAGAGCAAAACCTGAAATGTCTTGGAAGGTGTGCTGTGACAGCATCATGGACAGATTTAGCTGGTGGTCTGTGCTGGCATCTGGCCTAACCCCACCCAGTAATGGAGGTGGATGGGGAAGTGTTGCTACCCAGGAGTCTGGCACTGCCCCAAAGCAGAGGACCAGTTTTGGCTTTGGTCCTAAGCTGTGGCCTGGAGCCTGGCACTGAGAGTGCTGAGAAGGTGTTTCCCCTGGGCTATGTTGTGCAGGCTCACTGGAGTGGTAATTGGGGTGGGTCTCTGTTAACTCTGACCTTATGGGTGTGTGTATGAGTGCAAAACTTTTCCTCACAGCCTATCCTCTGCTCCATCCACTGAAGAAATTGAACATGGTAATGTCATGTGGTCTGGTGTTCCTTTCCCCCCATGACAGCAGGAAGATTGAAACTCTAGTTAACGTGTCTAAACCATCACATACAGCAGACCTAATTTTATTTGTTGAATTCCTGGGCATATTTTACATCTAACAGGTGAGGGCTGTAATCCATCTTACAACACCTCCGGCCTTTGTAGTACAAGACTGATGACTGGAATGGAAAATAAACAAGCAAACTCTCTTTGTTTGTGAAGAGACAAAGTTTAAATAATTTTCTGAAGGGGTTAGCCATACATACAGAACTTCCCACTCAGCATAGCTATTTGAACAGCTAGTTTGTATCCATTCCTTCTCTTTCAGCCCTGCCTGAGAATGGAAAGTCCCAACAGAAATTAAAAGGTTGGGAGAATACTTCCTGAGTTGACCAAGTAGGAAAGCAAACTGAAAGGATACATGCCACTGAGTTCTGAGAAAACTGCATCATAGTAAATAGTCTACTTCTAGTTTATTATGATGGCATGGGACAGTACATTTCTCTTAGGGTTTCCTTACTCAAGGTGCAGAACATTTAAAAATCTTCTTTTTAGGTGCTGTGTGCATATGAAAACAGCTACGTATTCTCCTTAATCAGTTATTGTAAGCTACCATACACATTTATGTTGCAATGGGTACAAAAAGTGGGAGAAACAGAAGAGTCCATTGATTTGTAACCTTCGCTACTACAGAAAAGGAAATGGCGATCAAAATAACTCTGTCTCTCAGACCAAGATGGCGAGAAGTCTTATGGTGTTCCCGCTCCTGACATAGCCATTGGACACCTGGAAAAAAATGTATCTTTGAAAACATGGGTAAAATAGATCTGTATTCAATTTTAGGAAAAGCCTTCAGGCCATTACTGAAAAACAAGTTGTTAAAGTCATTATATTTACACCTGTGATACCGGAATACTGCTATCCTTTTTATAGTGCTGTTTAACTCCCACAGGCAGGATAGTTGCATTGATTCCATATTAATATGTATGAAACCAATGCCGCACCGACATTCAGGGTAGGAAATTGGCAATTCTACTGTCAAAATGCTCACTAAACATAGCAGTTGAACTCTTTCTGTGATTCTGGGTCCTTCTGCCTTCCTTCTCCCTGTGTATTTCCCAGTATTTTCACAGTTTGTATAACCAGTATGTGTGAAATGTCTGCAGGACATGAACATTCCACAAAAGTATCTCTTCCTTATCCCTTGTATAAATCAGTTTAAACTGTACAGGTCAAGGGTAGAGAAATCTTTAAATAGAAGAAATAGAGAAATGCAGATACTGAATACAATTTAACAGTTGAGTTGCATTTCATTTTAAAAAGTGGCCCTTTGTGGAACTATGAGATTGTGATGTAGGAGAGGTGGATGGTGATGGGGTGATGGTAACTTCATGAAAATAGCTTCTTAATTTCAAATGAAAGCAGTAAATAGTATTTGAATGCAACTGAAACTAGTTTTTTCAAATCATTTAACTGTGTGACAATTTATTCTGAGTTTTAGAGAAAAGCTCCTAATATTAGGGAGAGGCTACCAGTGAGGATTGTTATTCTGAAAGGCTAGGGTGTAGTGGAAATATTTGCTTTATCCTTGTGTATCTCTAGGCAAAGCAAAAAACTCCTCATTCTCAAGTGTTTAGATTAGCACTCTGTGTGTTCCTTTTGCCTTTATTCATCCTGTAGCTGGCCTATTGGCCTACCACCACATAATTTCTTTAGTTAAAGTAAACGTTTCTTAGAAAAGTTGTCTTAAATTGTAAAAGACGTAGGTTGATGTAGATTAAAATGTCGTCTTATTTGTTTCCAGACAGGACAACAGTATAGACTCTACTTCCTCTCTGAGAGAAGACAGCAAGCTGGAAGGTCAGGAATCAAAACAAGGTATGTAGTGGAGAAAGCTGAAGTTTTGTTTTCTTGATGTTGGGCAGTGACTAATCCCAGTTAACCGACAGCTCTCTTTTGAACAGTAGCTGCAATCACAAGAGAATCATCCTCTAGTAATCAGCTGGTGTAGGGTTACAGTCTCCCCCTTGGGCCCAATTCCAGAAAAGGAGAGAGTAAAATTGAAGAAGACACTGTAGGAACTTTGACTTCTTAGTTCTGTGAGATTGGAGAGTTTTTTGTGGCTAGAAGCAAATTGCGGCTCTTCAAAGTTTGCTAGTTTAGCTTCTGGAACATGACTGAAGCTCTTGCAAGGCTCATTTGGCTCTTCATATCTAGTTTTTCAGCTGAAGAGGAGCTTCAGTCATTTCAATTTCTTGGTACATAGGTGATGGCTAATACTGCTATTACCATTTGCTGAATTCTCCCAAAGTCAGTTTTACTTTCTGTTGAGATGATCATAAGAGTCTACAGTACTCTGTTTTGACATTCATAGAAATCCATTACAGTAATTGTTTGCCAAAGGACTGCTTGTAATTTAATCATTTTGTTCAGTCTTGATATATCATACCGTGCTTTGTTTGATTGTGCAGAGCTGAGGTCCAATGGAATGGTGCTAAACACCCACCACTCCTGATAACTGGCGTATTTTACTTGAAGCCAGTGCCAGTGGTAGTACACACTCAAATCTCTGAACCTCTGAGGACAAACGTTTTGTCTTGTATATTCTCTCTTTTTAAATGTGAAAATGTAGTGGATGAGACACTGGGATACTACAGTGATTGGCAGAATAGAAAATGCAAAAGCAGGTAAGTTAGTGGTACACATTTGAGTGCCTGCTGCATAAGGAAACAGTTTTCTTAACCTGCAGCAGTATTTGTTTTATTCCAATCATTAAATCAGCACCATATAACAACTGCCAGTATTGTTATGTATATGAAGCACTAGAATTGTAGGTGTTTCTATCTCAGTCTATTTGTTTTCATTTGGACTAGCTGTATGCAGTAACATCAGAAGTAGCTTTTCCAATCAAAGAATGTTGCGAATTCTTATAAGCTAAATTTCTCTTCTGCGAAGATCTAACATTATTTGCTTCCTGCAACTCCTATTTCACGATTCGGAATGTTGTCTAAAAGATGTCTCTTGGAATAACTTTGTGAAGCATGTTTTTTTCTGAAGTAATTAGTGAGGGGAATTAAACTGAGAAGTATAGAGTCATAACAAAAGCATCAAAACTTTTAGGAGCAGGTTGCTGTGGCTTTGTGAAGAATGCTTTAAATGTTGCTTGTTGTACTCTGTGGAATGACCTTAGGACTGCCAGATTTTGTGCAGATCTCTTTCACTTTTGTATTATCAAAGGGAATTGATGACTGTTGCAGGTGATTGCTTCATTGTTGTTTTTTATGACTTAATCAACCAGAGTATCATGATGGCTTTGGGCTATAACAGTGGCTCCACTCAAGGCGTTAGCTTTAAAGAGCTTTTGAGAATATCAATATAAGTTTAACAATACAACTCTAATCATTCTGCTTAGCTGCAGCCTGTGATGCTATGGGGAAAAAAGAGAGGATGAGAGGATAAGTAAAAGTGGATAAAATAAAATTAAAAAACGGAATTAAGTGTGCTAAAATGAATTTCACTACTGTAGCTGAAGGAAAAAGAAAAAGTTATCAAAATGAAAAAGAATGAGAAATGCCAACCATGATCTTTATTATTGGGTAAAATTACAACTGCAAAAGAGGGAAATAAATCTCATCAGCTAATTAAACATCTATAGGCCAATGAGCTTGTATGAACACTGTATTCAGTTTTGGAGGCTCCAAATTCTGAATGGAACCCAAGGTGGCTTTGCCCAGCTTCCTGGTCCGTACTAATTCTAGGACAGACAGGAATGACTGTTAATATTTTGTTTCTGCTTAATATGTCACCAATACCAAAAGGAATCCTGTGGTGGGTTGACTCCAGCCGGCAGTAGGCACCCACCAGCCGCTCAGTTACTCCTCCCCCAGTGGGGTGGGGAAGACGATCAGAAGAGCAAAAGCGAGAAAAACTTCTGGGTCAAGATAAAGACAATTTAATAAGTGAAGCAAAAGCTGTGCAAGTAAAATAAGGGATTTATTCACTACTTCCCATTGGCAGCCAGATTTTTAGCTGCTTCCTGGAAAGCAGAGCCTCAGCATGCATAACTGTTACTTGGGAAGACAAATGCCATAACCGTGAACATCCCTCTTTCTTCCTTCTTTCCTTGAGCTATTATTGCTGAGCACAATGTCATGTGGTAGAGAATATCCCTTTGGTCAGTTGGGCTCAGCTGTCCTGGCAGTGTATCCTTCCCAACCTCTTGCCCGCTCCCAGCCTACTGCCTATGGTGAGAAACAGAGAAAGCCCTGAGGCTGTGCAAGCACCGTTGGGCACTAGACAAAACACTGGTGTGTTATCAACATTGTTTCAGAAACAAATCCAAAACACAGCACCATGCAGGCTGCTGTGAAGAAAATTAACTCCATCCCAGCCAGACCCAGTACAAAGTGAGTTTCTCTTTGGCAGTGAATTAGGATGAGTATGCTCAGAAGTTAGCTTTCAGGCTTTGAACTATGATCCATTGATGCACCTTTTTTTGATCCATGGAAATGCTGCTTGGTTGAGCAGCAAGTTAGGTAAATACTGACTAATGCCATGCAGCAAGACAGAAGAATTTCCAGTTCTTAATCCTGTTGATTCCCATTTCTTTTGATCTTTTGCATACTTTGTGTCTTGCAAGGTAAAGTTGAAAAGGTAGTGTTCAAAGTTGATTTGATAGTATGGGAAATAGGTAAAACTGCATCTGAAACTGAATTACTAATCTTGAAGTTAGTATCACAGTAGGAACAGGGCAAAACTACTTAGGATTGAAGACGGCCCTGGTATATTTGTCTCTTATAGTACTTTTTATACACACTGCTGTGAGCAGGATTTTTATAGCTTCAGAATCATTTATGTTTTAGGCTTTCAGTTTTTATTGATTGAAAATTGTGGTTTGTCTTACAAAAAAAAAAAGACCAAAACTTCATCTATATGGCTTATCGTACATTTTCCAGAGTTGAATTTGCTTCCTTGTCAGCTTTGATGTTGGAGGCGACACATGTGTTAGCTATATATGTTCCTATATATGCTGTATTTACCAGTATGATGGCCAGTTTTTGCAATCCAGTAAACCAGTGTTGTGAGGTACTGGATTGATAACTATGTAAGATCCTAAATCAGGAGTGCATTTCTCAGTCAGGGTAACATGCAGTATTCCTTAATTGGGACTTAAATGCTGTGACAAGTCATAGCCTATGATCAGGAGTGAATATCTGAATATCTTTTTTTAAGTGTATATAGTAAAAAAATCTTTAATCCTGAATCAATAAAATCCTTGGAGTTATGTTTTAAAATGTTACTATTGTTTATAAAACCAAATTGAGATTTTTTTTTTTTTACCAGAAAAAAAGTCTTTCTGCCTTCCCACCTTCCTACCTGCCTGCCTGCCTCCCTTCCTCCCCTCCCTTTTTTGTTTTTTGGGCAGAGAAAGTGCATTTATAGCTTTCTTACTAGCCAGTATTGATTTTCTTTTTTTTTTTCTATACC